TCTGCCTCCCAAGTAGCTGGGACCATAGGCACCCACCACAACGCCCGGCTATTTTTTGGTTGCAGCTGTCATTGTTGTTTGGCCGGTCCGGGCTGGGGATTCGAACCCGCCACCTTAGGTGTACGTGGCTGGCGCCTTAGCCAGTTGAGCTATAGGCGCCGAGCCCTTTATTAGTTTTTTATGTTCTCCACAGAGGTCTTTTGAATTGTGGAAGGTTGTGTTGGCTGCTACTGTGAATGACATTTGTTTATATTTCTAGCTATTTCTTGTTCTAGTAGAGAAATTCTACCATTTTTCATCAAGTCTAAGATACACACACATCTGGCTACAAGTCACAAAATATCAAGGCAGCAATTGCTTAAAGAAAAAGGGACAAGGTCCAGCATTCAGCAGCACAGGAGACCCAGGTCATCTCATCTGCCATCTTCCACCCACTCAGCTGCTGGCTCAGTGCCCTGCAGGCTTCAGATAGCTGTGGCCTCTCCAGGCACCAAGTCCAAGTCCAGGCAGGGAAAAAGGAAAAGAGCCAGGAGGTTCCGCTTAGCCCTCTTCTAGGGAACATATACGCCCTCCCAGGGACCACCTGCCAGGCACATGTTGTGGGCTCTGTCAGCCTCCTGGCTGCAGGGGCAGGGAGAAGGCAGTGTTTGTGGGTTGGCAAGGGTGAGGCCCCTACACATCACGTGTCACCTTTCCTTTGTGGGCAGTTAGAGAGAGTAGACAATCTTCTCTTGTTCATACTTTAAAATAAAATACATTTAAAGGCCTTTCACTAAGTATTTCCATTGAGGTTAGCCTTTATCAAGTAAAGAATCACTTCTGTGACTAGTTTTCCTGGCATTTTTCTCTACAAATGAATGTTGATTAAAATCAAATGCTCTGTCTTCCTCTTTTGAAGAAATTGTGTTTCCCCCCTTGGTCCACTACTCATAAAGTATATTGACACAGAGGCAGTCCCCAAGTGGCATACAACTCACACTCATGATTGGAGGCTGTTACAGGTAATAGGCAACTTAGGAACAAACCTACAGAACCTCCCTCATCTATAACCCGGGCACTGCCTGCATCATATGATGCAAAACCACCCTGGATCTGACAACCATGATATGCTTTTTGAGGCAGTGCTAGATTCATTTTGCTGTTTTATTCAAATATAGAACAGCTCAAATGTTTCTTATGCTTCCCTCATATATCCTAGACACATTCTGGATACCTCAAGACAGACTTCAGAGCCAGGAAACCAGTCAGAGAGCCCCTGTCTTTCCCTGCTTTGTCTCTGTTCTCACCCTTGGAGCAACTCAAATGTCAGGGCCCAAAACAGGCCCCTGGGTCTCTGCCCTTTTCTCTTGTATTTGCTCTCTTTTGCCAAAGAAATTTCCTTAACTTTAACGATTCAATCCTTGGGAAGGAGGGGTCTGTGGGATTTTTTGCAATAATTTTTATCTTAAAAGTTCCTTTTTAGTCTTTAATATTCCTTTTTCACAGAATCCTATCCTTATTTTATAAATTTAATGATCTCCCCCAGTCTCTCTGAGCCTATGCATTAAAGCATCTTCTTTTCTCCCGTGGAAAAACTGTCCTCCATGAAACCAGTCCCTGGTGCCAACATTATAGCATTTTTTAATATTTGTTTTTTAAGTTTTCCTCTGATTCATTCAAACTTCTTGATCTCTATTTTTTCTGTTTCTTTACTTTTGTCTTTCTCTTTTGTGTTGCAGAAAGTTTGACAAATTTTGCTTGTCATTCATACTGTAAAATGAAGCTGTAGGTAGGTACCTGGACTCTCTGTATTTTGGCTTTAGAGCTAAGGGGGTGGGGGCCTTCTGACTGCAGGTGACAGCACCAGTTAAGGTGGCTTCCACAAAAAGGGACATTTCCTCACTAAACCCAAATGTCCAGGACATCAGCTCTGGCACTACTGGCTCTGAATCAAACAGTACCACCAAGGCCAGCTCCTATGCTCTCAGCCCCATCCATGCAGCTCCTGTCTCAGCCATATGAGGCTCCAACTTGAGCAGGGAGGATAGTGGCCTTTCCCAGCAGTCCCGGGCCTGACGGCCCCATGGTTGAGACATGCTGCTTAGCTGTCCTGACCAGGAGTCAAGAGGGCACAGTCATTGCCAGATCCCCTGAGCCAAAACTAAGAGAGGTATAGTTCTTGGGGCATAGTGTCATGCTGAGAAGCACAAGCTGCCTCTGTCCACAGCCAGCCCCAACCCTGGGGGCTGCCAAGAGAACCCCCAGTCCTCTTGGGTGAACAGCTCGCTACTGGAAGCTCTGTGTGGGGGACAAGGAGGGACTCCCCCAGAGTGTTCAGGCCTCTGGCAACTCCCTTTCTAGCCCACTTCCCACAGCTGCCCCATGTCCAATGACCACTGCCCTCCCTGCCTAGCAGGCTTCCTCTGCCTAGTGAGTGCCCCCTCTTCCACCTATCTCCCCAGGTCTCCCCTGTCCTCATCATTAACTCCTTTACTGTAATTTCATCAGAGGGGGAAGCTGGGTAGACCTGCCAGGCAACCCCTAGAGTCAGACCAGCCATCAGTCACTTCCAAATACCAGTTCCCAGCCCTGGCTTGCCAGCATTCTAAAAACATTGTTGTCCAGTCTCATCCAGAAAAGAGAAGCTTTCTTTCCTTAGCAGTAAGGTAAGCATGTTTTTATTCCCAAAATGTTTCCTTCTGACTTATCCAGAACATTAGAACACAAAAACATGTGTATTCATCAAGTATTTGCTGAGCATTCCTGTGTGGGAAAACAGAAGTCACCAAGCAGTCCCTACACTTCAGGAACAAAGGGCAGGCTCAGCCACCAGTGCCCCCAGCTGCCCCTGGGACATAGCAGTGGGGGCTGGCCGGGAAGATGCTATCCACCCAGGTGGTATTTACAACCAAAGGATGGAGTGAGACTGCCTAGAAGAGCCTGTGGAGCAACTTTTGGGGGCCACAAGGATCTGGGGGAAGCCAAGAGACCCCACACACATGGCAACAAGGTTGGATAGGGGTAAGGAGGTTCTGCCCCCGCAAGCTGATAAGAAAGCCTGGTGTCCCGAAGTGGATGGGTAGAGACAAGGCCCAATGTCCATAGGTAGGAGAAAGAGGGCCCCCAGGCAGGAGCAGACCCTAGAGGGCAAGACAGCCCCATTTCAAGAGGCCCCAAGTCCACTCAGGCAGAGCCTGGGAAGCCCTTGGTTGGGACAGTCAACTTACAAGTGACCTTGTTGTGGAATAGCCATCTGGAGGGCCACCTGATAGGGTCTGAACAGTGGGTGTCCCCAGGACAACAGAATCACCCACCATAAGGGGCCCAAATCACAGTGGGGAGAGGGGGCCCATGCCCCCCCCCCACTACAAGGAAGGACACAGACCTGGGAAGGGGGCCTGTTGGGGGTGGGACTCACGACAGCATGGGGCCTGGATAGGAGTCTTCTTCCCACAGCACCATTGCCCAGAGGTAGATGCTGGGACTCACCAGGAGTGGGGATGAGAGTGTGTGAAGAGGGGAATGGTCTGGCATGGGGAAAGTGAACAGGGTAGGAGGTGGGGGCTTGGGGAGGTATGGAGGAAGGGGATTTTAGGGTTCAGCACTGTGGGAACAGGCGTGGGCCCTGGTGACGCAGGAGTGGGAAATGGGGTAGGGGTTAGTGAGGGAAGGGATGGGAAGGAGGATGGGGTGCAGCCTGCAAGGAAGCCCCGGAGACGAATGCACGGCGCCTTACCAGGCCTCTCTTACCTCCTCCCTCCCAGTCCCGCTGGGGACGCGCCTCCGCGCCGGCCCGCCCCCAAGCCCAGGGCGGAGGCCTCGCGCAAAATCGCGCCGCCGCGGCTCGCACTTGACGGAGGGTACCCTCTGCAGCAGCTGCTCCGGGCCGCGGTTCCCACCGAGGTCTACGGAGGGTAAGGCTGGGCGGCGGGATCCAGGCGCGAGCGGGAGGCCGGGGTAGCGCCCGCGGGCCGGGGTCTAGGCGCGGCGCGGCGCGCACCGGACAGGTTGCGCCGGGAGAAGGGAGTTGGGGCCGGCTGGGTCGCTGCATACAGAGCCAGCCCGGTTGCTGGGCTGAGTGGTAGGGAAGGCGTACATGGTACATGGTAGGGGCTGCAAGAGCAGCCCACAAGGTCTAGGCCTGCTGGGTAGAGCCCGCATAGTGTCACCAGGCACGCGTCCTCCGTGAGGCCCAAATGTCGGCTCTGGCCCGGGCCTCTACCCTGGAAGGCTCGGAACCAAGATTCCGAGGGGTCGGGGATGACAGGCCCAGGCACACGGCCGATCCCCTCTGCAGACCCTGAAACACAGCACCCCATCCCTAACGCGGGGGAGGGGTGCCCAACCAGAGGGCCTGTGTGCTAAGCCCAGGATATGGAGCAATGTGTCCGGGTTCTGAGCCTACCCACTCCCCGCCCCAGAGCTGAGGGGAACCCCTGGCCCCAAACACCGAGACCTCCCTTCCCCCACTCCAGGCACTGAGGGCACACAGCCCAGTCCCCAGGTCCTGAGCCCCTCATCCCCAGGCCTTGAGCACATACAGCCCACCTCCATCTCCAGGCACTGAGGGCACTCCCCATCCCCAGGTCCCAACCACCCCAGTCCCCAGGTCCTGAGCCCCATCTCCAGGCACTGAGGGGAGACCTCATCCCCAAGCACTGAGACTTTCTCTTCCCCCATCCAAGCTCTGAGGGTACACACACTCGCCCCCTCATCTCCAGGTCCTGACCCCTCCCCCTCCATCCCCAGGCACTGAGCCCCTGATCTTCACAGAAGCTGAGGTCTCCTCCCCTCTTCCTGCAGGTTTTACCCCACGAAGATGAACTGGGCAGCGGCAACGTGCTGGGCTCTGCTGCTTGCGGCTGCCTTCCTCTGCGACGGCGGCGCAGCCAAGGGCGGGCGGGGAGGGGCTCGGGGAAGCGCCCGGGGAGGGCGTGGGGCCTCGAGGGTGCGCGTGAGGCCAGCGCCCCGCTACAGTGCCCCGGGTTCCTCCCTGCGAGTGGCAGCCGCGGGGGCGGCGGCAGGAGCCGCCAAAGGCCCCGCGGCGGGGGCGGGCTGGAGGAGGGCAGCTGGGCCTGGGGAGCACGGCCTGGAGGACGAGGAGGATCAGATGCCTGGTGGCAACGGGACCGGTCGGAGCGTATACAGCTACCGGGCGTGGACTTCCGGTACAGCGCCAAGGCCGTACCTCTGCCTGCTGCTGGGCGGTGCCCTGGGAGCCCTGGAGCTTCTGCGTCCCTAGGCTTGGCTGGGCTCAGAGACCAGATGGCCCCCAGCCCACGACCCGCTGGTCTTCTGGCCCACTGAGATGCCATCTATGTCGGGCACCCCTTCTCTCTACTGCTCAAGATCTTGGAGCCCAGAGGGCTGCCTGGGTGTCTGGCCAGGGTTGAGGGCTGCAGCCTCTCCTGCCCGTGGACCCACTATCCCCCAATTCACCCAAGCCTATCCCCAAACTCCCACCCACTGGGACCAGTGCCCACAGGCTCCAGGCTCAGAGTCTCCCTGCCAGGACAAGCAGCCAGTAGTTCCTGCACCAGCCAGGCCAGTTGCCTTCCACTCTGCAGAGCTGCCCAAAGGGAGGTGCCAAGACTAGGCTCAGGCCACTCCTGCTTCCCTGGTACTGCCCATGGACTAATAGAGGCCACCCTAGGCTAGGCTGACTCTGCTACGAAACAGATGGAATGGACGAAAGGAATTCAGGATTTCGGGCAAGGGAGGGCAGAGAACATCCACCCAGGTGCTAGTGCAGATGTCCGGTGCTAGCCTCCTTCCCAGAGAGCAGACTGTGGACTTCACAGCCCAGGAACACCCCAAGCACGAAAACTATCCAACCCAGCAAGGCCCACTGGGGCTCCCAAACACACCTGCCCACAGAGGCTGCAGGCTTGCCACTTGCTGGATTCACCCTCAAACCAGGCTGCATCCCATCTTCTGGACAGACTCAATGGAGACCCACTGCCAGGGGCCCTGCCCCTCTCCCTTGGAGAATCTTTGTTCCAGCCACTTGAAATGTGTCTTGGACATGTTTGGGGGAAGAAAACCCCCACATTCTGGAGCTTTCCATTTTGTTTTTGAACTTCAGGTTCACATGGGGACCACACAGTTCTCACCCACATCCAGGTATGGCAACTGCCAGTACCACAAAGAGGCCCAGTCCCCCCAGCAGCACCTCTTCCTCAGAACCAGTGGCCAAGCCCAGCAGAGGGGCTTAAGCAACAGCATAGTGTGAATGGCAGCTTGGCAGAGGCCAGGAGTTCAGCTAAGGCCACTGGACTGACCATGGCTACCAGCAGGTCCTTGGAAGAAGGGTGACTGCAACAATGGGTCCCAGCACCAGCAAGTACAGCAGGAAACCTAGGCAGGAGCAGGCTGAGCCCTCACCCCACAGGGACATTCTAAAGACAGGGCAGATGCCCAGAATGGCTTCAGGAAGCGCTGGATTAGTCTTGATAAGGACTTTTATGCCTCTGTGCCTAAGACTGACCCTTTGCTGCTCTGATACTTGCCAGCCTGGTTCACTTCTTTGAGCTCTGCACTGCAGGATCTCTGCTCATTGCAATGTTCTCTAGCTCTTTAATCACCCATCCCCAGGTAGGATGGGTTTTTCCAGGGTCCCAGCACCCTGCAGCCTTGGCTGCCTCCGCCTGGGAACTCTGAGCCTATAGACTCAGCCCTGGACACCACTGTTGAGACCACACCACCTAGACCCAACTCTAACTGGCAGGCCAATGGACGGCTCCACCAGGGGTGTGTCTAGATACTACAGGGGGAACCCTGGACCAGCACTTTCTTCCAAACATTGGGGTACTGAGCTGCATGAGGCAGCTCCCTTGCAGCCTCTCGAGGTCCACATTGCCACCATCCTCTGGGCACGAGCCCAGACATTTCTCTATCCCTTGCAGACCAAGTTTGATACCACCAAAGACCAGCAAGCCAGGACAAATCCTGCCCAAGTCCTCAGAGGCAGGAGTTCTGCTGTTTTTGTCAAGGAGGCAGAAGAGTCTTGAATGTACCCATGGACAGGGAGACTCATCAGAGCCCCTTCAGCTCCCCAGACGCCCACCCAGGCCCTCACACAGCACAACGCAGGGAACCTATATGGGTCCTAGACATCGGACACATCACACCCTTCAACAACAGTTTATTCAGCATGTTAGCATTTGACACAGCTGTGAACCTGAGCACATCCTGCCCAGGCAGTCAGGTTTCAGCAGGAAGCAGATGGTGCTGGGGGGTCATTTCAGTTACTGAGAGCAGGGTGCACATCCAGAAGGGCCAGCAAGGGCCCCACACCATCCCTGCACCCCACTGAAACAGAGTCCCACTCTCCTGCTATAAGGTGCTCAGAGGCCTAGGGGCTCCACTGCCCACACCAGGAGACCCCCAGCCTGTGTGCAACAATGCCAAGCACAAGCTCCCCTAGGACCAGACGGCCAAGGCACTGAGGGAAGGCCAGTCCTGGGTTTTGCTATTCAGAACCTCTTGTCCTGTCTGTGAGCACATCCCCCAGTGTTGTGAAATAAATCTTCTGCTGGCAACAAGGCGCTTCCTTGCTGTAGGGCTGCAGGTTGTTGGTCCAACCTGCCCATTTCCCACATTCCACAGGTGAGAGAGGCTTCAACACGTGGGCCCCAGCATGAGACCAAATAAGACAAGCCTTCTGATTCAGATTAACAATTAGAGACTACAACCACGCCTCCTTCTGAAATAGCACCAACCTCAAGAGACAGAGTGGGAATGTCCTTGCTGGCCAGACATGCAGGCTGCTCAGGGATGTGACAGGAGCCCAGGATGCAGTCCAGCCAGGCCAACCTGGGGCTAGGAGTGCAGCACCCCTTTTGGGAGGAAAGGCCTGAGTCATATGGCTGGCATGGAGCTTCTAGAAAAGGGCGGGCTGTCCTGAGCCTCAAACATCCAGGTTGGAGGAGGTCTAGAGGCTGCACGCCTCTGATGCCCTCACCTCTAGCACCAGCTCAAGGGTCTGCCTTGGCAGGGGGGTGGCCCTGCAAGACATCAAGGTCCAGCATCACAGGGCCCAGCTGGCCCCTACGGAAAGTCTGGAGGAAGTCTCGGGCTGCTGCGGGGTAGTTGGGCTGAATGATGTTCACATCACCTGGGGATGGGAGGGTCTGATGAGGAAGGGATCTTTGGAGTAGGAGAGGCCCAGACCCTGCCTGCCTGAGGAACAGACCCTAAGAGATCCCAAGGCTGGCGTCAAGGTGGCCCAGGAAACCTGGTACATTCAGAAAGAAAACAGAGTTCAAGCCCCACCAACAGGGACCTCCACAGGCCCAATGGGGAAGGCCTATGGTTGTCCACCTCACACTGCCCAGGGACAGGGCCAGTCTCACCCCTTGAAGCCTGGGCCATGAGCTCCTTTCCCCCTAGAACTTTCCATAGTTACCCTGCCCCAAGACTCACTCCCAGAACAGCCATAACACGTTTCTCTCCTTGACTTCTCTGGGGGCAGCAGGGGCCCCACCAGGTGCCCGTGAATATCTGCACTCACCTGTGCCTGTGAGCACCTTCACCTTCTGCGTCTTTCGCAGCTTCACAGCCACGCTCTTTAGCACATGTTCTATGTCATCACAGGCACCACCCAGGCCGTAGTGTTGCACATACCTGTACATGGGACCCAGTCAGCAATGAAGGCCCAGCCCCTTCTACCCAAGGACCACACCTGGCTCCACAAATGACAGCCAAGCACCCTGTGAGTGACGGTCACCTCAGGGCAATGTGGTGAGAGCCCTGGGTCCTGTGGGGGAGTCGCTGTCTGAGAGTCCCCAAGCTCCATTCTATGTGACCTTGGCCAGAGTCCTTGTCTGCCATGGGCAACATAACGGCTATGCACATCGGCAGCTGCACCAACCCTGCCCTGTGCAGGCTCAGGGCCTGGAGGCAGGGCAGGCAGCAGCACACCTGTGGTCTCCACTGCTGGAGAGAGGACCATCCAACCAGCCATCAGCACTTCCTGCAGCATATGGGGCCCAGCATATGCTGACAGGTGCCCACCCCTGCAGAGCACCACCCTATGGTCCCTGGGCACCCTGTTCCCCCCACCTACCCAAAGCAGGGTCTGGGTAGTAATGCTAACACTCTGGGAGGCCGAGGTGGGTGAATTGCCTGAGCTCACAGGATGGAGACCAGCCTGAGCCAGCATGAGACCTCATCTCTAAAAACAGCCTCGTGTTGTGGCAGGCACCTGTAGTCCCAGCTGCTTGGCAGGCTAAGGCAAGAGAATCGCTTAAGCCCAAGAGTTTGAGGTTGCTGGGAGCTACAACAGCATTCTACCAAGGGTGACAAAGTAAGACTCTGCCTCAAAAAATAAAGAAAGAAAGAAAGAGCTAAATATAAATCTTACATAAAGTATAAAAGACCTTATATTGATAACTACAAAACACTGATAAGGAAAACTAATGAAGACCTAAAAAAAAAAAGAGAGAGATGCTGTATTCATGGGTCAGACTCAAATTTTACAATATTATCAATTCTCTCCCAGAATGACCTATAAATTCAGTGGATTCTGCCCCCGCCCCAAGAAAAGCAGGGATTTTTGTAGGAACTGACAAAATGGTTGGCAAATTCATATGCGAATGCAGAGAACCTAGAAGGGCCAAAGCAATTTTGAAAAAGTAGAGTGGAGTGGAGGACCACCAGGCCTGATTCCAAGTCTCATGTTAAGGGTGTAGCTATCAGGCCAGTGAAATAGATCAGTAGAATGAGAGAGTCCACCAACAGACCCAACCACATATGCACAAATGATTTTCAACAGAGGTGCAAAGACAATTCAGTGGAGGAAAAGTCAAATTTTCTGGAACAATGTGTTTAAAAAAAAATCCCCAAACAATGATCCATGGCTAGCACTATACACACAAAAAAATCAAAAGGATAATTTTTTGAGACAGTCTCACTATGTCATCCTCAGTAGAGTGCCATGGTGTCACAGTTCATAGCAACCTCAAACTCTTGGGCTTAAGCAATTCTCTTGCCTCAGCCTCCCAAGTAGCTGAGACTACAAGTGCCAGCCACAACGCTGGCTATTTTCTTTTGCAGTTGTCATTCTTGTTTAGCTGGCCTGGGTGGGGCTCGAACCCACCAGCCTCAGTGTATGTGGCTGGTGCTACAACTGTGCTACAGGCATCGAGCCAATTTCTTTCTTTGGTTTTTTGTTTTTGTTTTGGTTTTTTTTTTTTTTTTAGACAGAGTCTCACTTTGTCCCCCTTGGTAGAGTGCCATGGTGTCACAGCTCACAGCAATTTCAAACTCTTGAGCTTAAGCAATTCTCTTGCCTCAGCCTCACAAGTAGCTGCGACTACAGGCACGCACCACAATGCCCGTCTACTTTTAGAGACAAGGTCTCACGCTGGCTCAGGCTGGTCTCAAACCTATGAGCTCAGGCAATCCACCCACTTCGGCCTTCCAGAGTGCTAGGATTACAGGTGTGAGCCACCATGCCAAGACCTACCTAAAAGGATAATTTCTAAATGTAAAACTATCTAACTTCAAGGAGGAAACCCTTGTGACCTTGGTTTAGGCAAAGACATGACAACAAAAGCACTATAAAAGATCTAGTAGATAAACTGGACTTCATGAATATTAAGAATTCTGTCCCTCAAAAGACACTATTAAGAAAATAAACAGACAAGACATAGACTCAGAGAAAATACATATCCCTATCTCTGATTAGGAATAATATAAAGAACTATCACAACAAGAAGAAAAGAAACAATTCACTTAAAAGAAAAAAAAAAAAGAAGCCAGGCAAAGTGATTCACACCTGTAATCCCAGCACTCTGGGAGGCCAAGGTGGGAAGATCACTTCAGGCCGGGAGTTCTAGACCAGCCTAGCCAACATAGCATCTCCACAAAAATAAATAAATAAACAAATTAGCCAAATGTGGTGGCACCTGTAGTCCCAGCTACTCCAGAGGCCAAGGCAGGAAGATCACTTGAGCCTAGGAGTTCAAGGTTTTAGTGAGCTGTGATTACACTACTATACTCCACCCTGAGCAACAGAGTGAAACCTTTTCCTCTCTCTATTTTTTTTTTTAAAGGGAAAAGATTAGAACATTCCCCAGAGAAGATGTATGGATGGCAAATAAGTATATGAACAGATGCTCTACATTGTCCATTACTAGGGAAATGCAAAATAATGATGCATGCCCATCAGACTGGCTAAAATTGAAAGACTACTGAGAACATTATGCTAAGTGAAATGAGCCAAGCACAGAAATACCAATCTCACATGTTCTCACAGACAAGTGGAGCTACGTATTTGTCTCTCATGGAGACAAAGTAGAATGACTGTTACCAAAGGCTGGGAAGAGTAGTGGGGAGGGAGGATAAGTGGGAGTGACTGGCTATAAAAAAAAACTATAGCTAGATTCGATAGCATGCAAAGCGACTATAACCAGCAATAACTTAGGGTATACTTTATTTTTTTTTTTTTTTTTTTTTTTTGAGACAGAGCCTCAAGCTGTCCCCCTGGGCAGAGTGCCGTGGCATTACAGCTCACAGCAACCTCCAGCT